CTTTTATTCCCAAGGGCCCAGAAAGGTTTCCCAGCCTCTGTCCCCTTCCCTGAGAGTGGAAAGAGACACTGCACAGCCTCTGTAAATCCCATTTCCATCCCAGTGCCTCCACTTGGATGCAGGAATGGCTGTGCTGCCCATCACCATCCTCAGCCCTCCCCCAAGAAAATCCCTCTCAGGGTAATTAGAGTCGCCTGGAATTTTTATTTTTCCAGGCAGGAATCAGAGGGATGCAAAAGGAGTTGAAAAATTGTAGCTTTGCAGAGAAAAATTCTGGATTTATAACAATGAACTGCTCAGGAATTAAAATCAAGTTTCCTGGAAAGGCACAGCTGAGATAAATTAAAAAGCTGGGAAAGCTGAAGGGTTCATCTTGAGATGTTCATAAAATTTTACAAGGAGATTTTCAATATTCAACATTCGAGCTAAATGTTAAAAGAAAAAAAAAGACAGAAAACTAAAGCAGAGTTTGGTTTTTTAGTGGGGATTAAAGCAAATGTTTCCCAAAGGCCCAGAAAAGGTTACCCAGCCTCTGGCTCCTTCCCTGAGAGTGTGGTAAACCTCTGCAGGAAAAAAATCCATTTATTAAACATGATATGAATTAAGGGATGATCATTGCTTTCTCTGATGTGGAGAACTCTGAAGATCTCAACCATATGTTTGGGTTTCCCTCCCTCCCAGAACTCAACAGTAAAACCTTCCCTAATTTACAGGGACTAATAAAAATGCATAATTGTTGTTCATAATTGTCGGGAAGTTACAGCCCCAATCAAATTTACAGCACCATCGGATCACCGAGGAGCAATTTTTTGGGGCTGGCATTTCCACTTTTAAAGTCACATTTCCCATCGTTGAGTGTGTTTTTATTGTAATGGATGAGCCTGTCATAACTCACTGGAATGGGAAATCACTCCCCTTCTTGTTTCCTCTATTTCCGAGTTAAATTTTTGTTTGAGATCAAATCACGACTTTATTATTCGAAGCCTGATTTATTTAAAGCAGGCAGAGGTGAATGTTTGGCTTTTTTATCCTGCATTTTGAGGGAAATTGAGTTGTTTTTCGTGTCACCTTCCCTCGGCACGAGGCAGAGCTTTTGCCTTCTTTTTCTCAAGAGGAGAGATTTTGAACTTACCTTTTAAAAACCCTCTGTAGCTGCATTTCCCCCTTCCAAGCGTGTTTAGTTTCCAGCTCACACGAGTTCTGTAGCTTTATATTAAGGACAAGAGGGGAATGGGAGACCTGCCCCTTCCCAGGAGCATTTCTGTGAATAAACACTTGATTTCTCTGCCCTTCCCCAGCCCAGGGACCTGCTCAGAGCTGCGACAGAAACAGGACAGGATAATATAGAAAATAATGGACAAGGCAACATGGACAAGAAAATAGAGGAAAATTCAGATTACAAACGTGTATTAACAGCAAAATAAACCACAGAAACTTGCAGGAATGTTAGAAGTGTGTAGCATTATGGCCTTAGATATGGTTTGTGTCTTGGGATGGATTTTTGTCCCATCTAGGGACACCCCACCTCCAGCTCTGGGGTTCCCTTTCCCTTCGTGTGGTTTCTCCTGCTTTTCTAATGAAATCCTTCACTGAAGTGTTCCCGTGGCATAGGGAATGTCCAGACTGGGCTCCTGCTCCGTCCATGGGATCCAAGTGCCACCTTGTGTTCACAAAATGCATTTCAGGGAGCTTTTCCCTCCGGCATCCATCGAAACCACAGCTCCCGCATTCCATGGAAACGCTCAGAGAGGTGTTCGGGTCTTTTAACACTGAATTAATCGCATATTAAAATGCCAGCAAAGTTATTTAATAATAAATACAGCTGCAGCTTTATAAACGTGATTTTTTACACAATAAATTCTCTGTGCTTACCCAGCCTCTGTAAATCCCATTTCCATCCCAGTGCCTCCACTTGGATGCAGGAATGGCTGTGCTGCCCATCACCATCCTCAGCCCTCCCCCAAGAAAATCCCTCTCAGGGTAATTAGAGTCGCCTGGAATTTTTATTTTTCCAGGCAGGATTCAGAGGGACTCAAAAGGAGTTGAAAATTATAGATTTGCAGAGAAAAATTGTGGGTTGATAACAATGAACTGCTCAGGAATTAAAATCAAGTTTCCTGGAAAGGCACAGCTGAGATAAATTAAAAAGCTGGGAAAGCTGAAGGGTTCATCTTGAGATGTTCATAAAATTTTACAAGATTTTCAATATTCAATGCCTTGGAACATTTACAGTCCTAGAACAGCCCAGAATCTTGGAAGATCACCTGGTCCAACCTGACCTGGGATATTTTTGTTGCAGGAGGAATAAGGTACAAGATTCCCTCCTGCTATAAAACTAATTTTACAGGCTTGATAATTCATTTTTAACTGTTGAAAGCGACAGTTTATTTAACTGGAACTTTATAAAGCAGAAAACTTGAGAAAGTTTTAAGTGTAGAAACCTCGTTCTGTATTAAATTCCATTATTTGGATGAGGCTGAGTTTAGATTTGAGTTTAAAAAACACCTCATAATGATTTCTAATAAAAATATTGAAATATATCTTTTTTTTTCACTGGAAACACTGTTCATCCTATATTTCAGGGCTATTAGGGGTTCAAAAAATGATGCACCATGAGTGAGATTTGGACTGTGTTCAGTCCCATGAATTGTTATTCTTTGTTTTTCACTGTTATCCTTTGCCAAAACCATGGTCATAATTCCCTTTGATGAGTTTTCTGTGCTCCCTCCCATTCTCCAACACAGCTTCTAATGGGTTGTGTCAGTCAGTCCATGCTCAAGTTTAAAAGCCATTTTCTGTAGCCAAAGCACAACACAAAAACATTCCCATGCTGAGCCGAGCACAAGAAAAACACAGCCCAAGGAACTTTATAACAGAGAGCTGTGCTCCAAAATCCTTATTTTTATATTTAACTAGGGCTTCATAATGTCATTAAAAATTGAGGTCAAGCACACGATGTCCAAAGGTTCTCAAGTAACACAAGGATAAAATTCTCTGCCAGGAATTGATGTCCACCAGTGGGTAGCAGCAGGTAGCAGATAATTGAAAAGTGGCTTATCTCTAATTACTCTGCTCTATCCTCCTTACAGCCACATTAGGGGGAGTACACAAGAGCCACACTTAAATACTGGCGAGCCTGATGTAAAAAAGAACATTTGGAAACGGTGATACTCTTATTTTAATCCATGTTTTGCAGAAGCTGCTCTGCAAAATCCTGTTTCTTATGCTGCATCCGTGATGTTCTCTGAGCCACACACAGCACTGCACGTTCCCTGATGTTGCTGCCTCAAATACAGACTTTAATTCAACTTCACCTTTTCTCTTTTTTTTGCTTCTACTTTCTGAGCTGGAGTCTTTCTATTTTCCCTGCGAATAAAAGCGGGTTTATGGCTCGAGGTATTGCTGGTTATGAGTAACCCCGAGATGCTCTAAAACTCCAAAAAAGACTATTCTGGGCCTTTCTGTGAATGTCTTTGGAGCTGAGGACATTCTGATCCATCAGCAGCAGATGGCCCTTAGCTACAGAAGTAATTCCAACACACGGTTTCACATTTCATTATTGCAAAGTTCAAGTCTAAGAAATTGCTTTTTTCCTTGTTAGGCAGAGCTATAACTTCTCCTCAACCACTGTAGCCCCAAGACCAACAATATATCACTTCATTACAGCTGCTCCTTCCTTCCCCAGCTTTCCAGAACACTCTGCCCACGACAACAGCAGCATTTTAATGTTGTTGTGGCTTTTCTGTGGTGGGGGCAGCTCCTGTTTGCCAAAAAAAAATACACCCAAGATTATGGAATCACTGAAAGGTTTGGGTTTACTTTGCAGCCTTTCCTCCACTTCCTTTGACCAGGTTTTTAGTTCTGACTTCAGGGTCCTAAACTTTTATCCATACTGATGATTCACTAGGAAAAAGTGGGTTTTAAACATTATCATTGGTCACCATTTCATTAAGGCCTGAGGTTTTTGTTAAATTTTGATAAGGGATAAAAAAATCACAGACTCACAGAATGGTTTGGGTTGGAAGGACCTTAAAGCCCATCCAGTGCCACCCCCTGCCATGGGCAGGGACACCTTCCACTAGCCCAGGTTGCTCCAAGCCCCATCCAACCTGGCCTTGGACACTTCCAGGAGTGGGGCAGGCACAGATTTTCTGGGAAGATGTGTAAGATGATGTGGGACATCCATCAGGAAAGCGCCTTGTGAGCAGCACACAGAGCCCTTCACCCTGCAAATGCTTAGAAAGAAAATAAGAATATTTTCAGACTTTTGCAATAAGTTGTACAGCTTTTTGGGGAAAAAAAAAAGAAAAGAATCATCAGCAAACAAAAGGTCAGCTCAGAAAACCCCCACTAAGGCAGCTCTGCTGTTCTCCACAGCACTTAGGTGGGTGTTTCATCTGGAGGGAAGAAACTGCCTCACTTAGAGCACATCCCTCCTTCCTTCAGCATCTCCCAGACCATCCTCCAGCCAGAGCTTCCCCAGGAAGCTCCTCAGAGACCTCCCACCCTCTGGAGTAGCCCTGACTCAGCTCCTCTGCCCTCCTGGGTGCCAGCACTGGGTGTCCCCCCCCCCCTCTGCAGAGATTTCCCTTCCCTCACCGAGGGAAAGCTCCCAGGAGAGGAGAATCCCAATTAAACGTGGCTTTTCTGCAGTGGATCAGTTTGAACATAACCTTTTCCAGCTCAGCAGGAGCTCAGAAGTGCCTTTTCTCAGGCTGCAAAATGAGGACAAACTTTCCTTTTGACGCTTGCTGAGCAAAGACAAGAGAGGGGCTGGAAACCCTTTGGGGTTTTGGACTAATATTTTCCTCCAGAACTTCATTTTATGGCAGCCCCACTGCCTTGTGCTTCTGTTGATCACACCTGGTAGCATGAATAAACAGATTTTTCCCATCTATCTATCTATATATAAGTTCCTAGATCAGTATCTCTTGATTTATATTGTGATATGGATTTAACACTGACCCATGTGAAGGTATAAAAGAGCCTCAGTGGATTTAAGTGCTGTTTTCTGAGCTAAAAAGGGATTAATCACGGGTCAGAAGAGCATTCCCATATGGAGACACTGCTTTCCTTTAATTAAGTACTAATAGTCATAGAAATATGGTTATTATAGATCCCAAAAAGTAACACCAACCTGAGAAAGGGACTGTGCAGTTGTGCCAAATACAAAACATTCCCAGCCTCCAACAGGCTTCAGCAGAACATCATTTTCCTTGGAAGTGTCCCAGGCCAGGTTGGAGCACTCTGGGATAGTGGAAGGAGTTTCTGCCCATGGCAGGGGGTGGAACTGGATGAGCTTTAAGGTCCCTTCCAGTCATTCTGGATTCTCTAATTTTCCCTGTGGTCCCCATTCCAAAGAGACTTCTGAGCCCCCTTTCTGGGCCCACCCCAGGAATAATTTTGTGGTAGTTGATAAATTCTGCAGTTCGGTGGAAGTTGGGCCTGTGGAGAGAAGAAGGAGAGGAATGAAACCCCATTTTAACCCAGGGATAATTCAGCTCTGCTTCAACACAACTTTGTGGCAGTGACAGAGAGGGGAAAAAACTCAGAGAGTGGAAAACAAGATCATAGAACGCTGCTGAGTTAGCAGGAGCATAAAGCAAAACAAGATAACTGATTTTCCAATTGCATTTAATTCGGGGAGTTTAAGACTTAAATAAAGAGAAAATCGTGGAAACTTATTGGAGCCAGAACCCATTAGGAGGCTCTAACACTATATTAGTTTAAAGGGATTCTGTCAAGTGCATTTTGAGAGTTTTAAATTTTTTTCCCCTGTAATTAATGCCCCTGCAACATTAGTTCCACTGCCTTTGAAGCTGGAAAATAGTGTTTGCTTTCTTATCTTCGCCCCCATTGAACCTTCCTCGTGTCTCCCCTGGAGATATCACACTGTGGGCTCGTGATTTGCTTATTGGGCACCAGTGTGTCCAAGGATACTCCTTATTCCCATTTCCCACGGATGTGTGTGATGCTTTATAACCCTCTCCTGGGTTTTAAACGCTGGCAGGCAGCAAACAAAAATTAATCTGGTGTTTTTAGAGACGCGAAGCAACGCTTTGGGTTCTGTTTGTGTGAAATGTCTTTTAGCCCTATTGGAAAAAGTGTTAATACCAATAAATTCTGCCTGTGGTGAATGGAAAATATGGGTTGATTGATTGATCCTAATTTTCCTTTTATTAAGCAAACCATCAGTGCAGTTGTTGATGGGATACAGAGAATTAAGGAGCAGCTTAAGGAGCCTGACTTCAATAAATTCCCATGCAAAATTCCTTCATCTGGGGAAATTGTGATTTATTAAATACCTGCCCCACACACAGGAAAGCTGCTGGTTCCCAACTGATGGACTTAGATGTGTCCAAGCAGCAACCCAGGGGATTCCAGCCAGTTTTCCAGAGGCTGGGACCAAGCCTTGGAGTTAAACAGGGGTACAAATAAGTTTTGCAGTAATTAGCATTTCCAAATGGCAGGGGGAATTGCTGCCTGGAATGGTGTGTTATCACTCTGCTGGTTTGAACATTGCTTCAGGGAAAAATAAACACCTCCTCCTAGAAGAATGCAATGTGGACACTAAGTTTGATTCCCTCATTTTTGCCACGGATTTGGAGGTCCCTTCAGTGCCTGATTTACCTGAGGAAGTGCAAAACTCTGTTGACAGAAGTTTTCCTTTCCTCACCATCCTCCCACCAGGGATATTTCATTTCTTGTCCTACAAGGAGCACACTGGGAGTCTCTGGGATCACTGTGGATTCCTGCTGCCCTGACACACCAGAATAACCTGTGTTTGCAGCACCAGATTTAATTATTCAGACAGCAAAACAACCTAGAATATCCATGGCCACTGTGAGATGAAGCAGAAAAGCCACTGGTGCTTTGTGTGCTCGTTCCTGGGCCCACTGGAACAGAGGATCCAGGAGAATTCTAATCCTATTTATACTTAGGATGCTTTTATGGTACTTAAAGAATTAAAAAAATGCTCTGCCAGAAGTTCCTACAATTTATCTTCAGTAGATTTTAATATCATTTATTTTATAACATCAGTTCCTACAGACATCACTCTCCAGCAAAATTACTTTGGATGATTTTAAACCTCTTTATTCTTCTGGTGATCATTTATTATCCACTGCACATTTTTAGAAAGCCCTCTCAATTAGAGCTTGTTTTATGCTCTACCTGCAATATTTTAAAATGGTTTTTGTGCCCCAAACATCTGAGAGGTTCCTTCAAGCAACATATTCCTGAAATATCATCCCCAATATTGGCCAGTTTATTGTCTGTTTGAACCACTGGAGTCAACTGGGCTCCACGTGAGCTCCCTGCCTAAATCCATCCCCATGGATTCCACTCCCTGGGCTAATTCTAATTATTTTTGAAAGCCAGTTTTTAAACACTGGCATCTTAAGGAGCATTTTAAGGAACTTTTTGCACAGGGTCATACGTGGCCTCAGCGTTTGCTTTAAGCTAAAAAACGAGATGTCTTCACCAGAGAATATTTTTCCCAGCAAAACTCCAGCTTCCTCCTTCCTCTGCTCTTCAGAACTGATGTTGTCAGCTTTGTGCTTTAAGTAAGAGACAGAGTTTATTGGTTCAAGGGACTTCAAAAAGAGCAGAGGAGCATCTTTAATAACACGCAAAAATTACAAGTTCTCCCAGAAATGACAGGCTCAGATTTTTCAGCCACACAGAGGAAATTCTGCTTCTACTTCGGCTGCTTTTATTCCTTCCTGAGCCTTGACACTGCCTAAATTCACCAAAAATCAACCACCATCTTCCAAACCTGAGGCCAAAAACGTCCCTGCCCGAAGGAATGAGACGCTTGGGGACAATTTGACCCTGGAGATTGTGAATATGCAGGTGAGGAAAAGACACGAGCCTCTCTTTTCAAAAATTTCCCTTTTTCCACCTTAGAATTCAGCCATTTTAAGAAATTTAAAATAGTTGGGTTTATATAGGTGCTTTCATTGCAACACATCATAAACTCACCTTTGTTTTGTCCCATTTAGGGGTTGTAAGTCCTCACAGAGCTTCCTAGGGATGGTGACATGAAAATTGGGTTGTGCTGTTTAATTACCACAATTTTAGCACCTGAAAAGCTGGGTAAGGGAACAACATTCTGGATTTGCATGTGACTTGTATTTTGAAGGGAATTTATCTTTTGTTTTACAGGTGAAAAACCCATTTATGTGGAATTAAACACCTACCTCCCACCAACAGGTAAATGCAACTGAGGAAAAGCCATGGGCCTCTCTTTTCAAAACTTTCCATTTTTCCACCTTAGAATTCAGCCATTTTAAGAAATTTAAAGATAATTGGATCTATACAGGTGTTTTCATTGCAACACATCACAAACTCACCTTTACTTTGTCTCATCTCGAGGTTTCAAGTCCTCACAGAGCTTCCTAGGGATGGTGAGCAGGAAAGGCTCAGTGTGGCCATTCACAGGCTGTCTGGAAATCCTCCCCTAGCACAAGAACTGGGAAAGATCCTAAATATTAAATGTGGGGGTTGGGCAGTGCCTAAAACAGGTATTTGGTTGCCTTTATTATTTGCCTTTCATAATAAAAATAATAATAATAACAACAATTTTTATTTAGAAACAACTTATTCTGCATTCTCCCAGACTTTCAGCCCTCATGTAAATTAGGATTTTGCATCTCAACCCATCAAGCAACGAGCAGTTTGATCTGTGGCAGTGCTTAAATTCAAGGTACTGCTTCCACTACTCCCCAGATGAGGGGTGATGATAGACATGACCACGATGACCTTTAATTTCCAGCCCCAAAACAGTCTCTACCAGTCAAGTTGCTGAGGTTGCTGCAGCAAATAAAGAGATCAACTCCTCCATCAGGGCAGGGAACACCCTGCCCTGCACCAAGACAGCAATTTTCTGCCAGCAAAACCAGAGGACAAGACCCACAAGTCAGTGAAAGGTGCTAAAAAGGCCAAAAAGTGAAAGGGTTAAAACTCAGTCTACCCCAAAAATCCATTTTCCTGCCCCTGTTGCTCAGGTCACAGCTTAGAGTAATTCAAAAATCTCCATGTGCCTCACCTTCAGGAGATTCTCAAGCCCTGGCAAGTACAATTCTGTTGTCAACAAAATGTTATTCAAACAGAAACTCGAGGACATTGGGATGTGCTTGATTTTTCGTAATTTTGGGCTAAAATGGCAGGTTTTCTGTGCACATGAACATCCCATTGAATATTTAAAAAAAAACCCAAACTCGTGAGTTGAATATTTTTAAAAAATCTCACAAATATTGTCATCAACTTAGTGGATTTAAAATCCACTATTTCCTTCCCAGCTCGTGAAAATAATTTCCATTTATCTTCCAGAAAGAGCTCTGATTTGAAGCTGATTCTGTGTGCAAGAGCACATCTGGAGTGTTTGGAAATGTGCTGAGTGCTGCCAGAATTAAATAGCCTCGGAAAACCCTCGATTCAATCCCTCCAGCTGGGATCCCTGAGTTTGTTCCATCCCCAAAAACCAGGATTGTTTGATCCCCCTCTCAGCCGAGGGAGGGAAGGGAGAAGTGAAAGAACTCTGATTTTTGAGGCTGAAGGGACAAACCTACACCTTTGGGTTTGTTTTGTCAGGTGGCTGCCGCTGGAAAATGAATGTTTTTCTGAAAAAAGAGTGGATAATGAAAGAAATTAAGGGAAAAAGACAAGAAAAATTATAAGAAGCCTCCTACAAGGATCATGTTCTCCTGAAATTAAGAATAAACCACCATTATCTCCACTGCCCTAAATAAAATCTAAAATAACACACACCTGAGTAAAACTAATGCATTTTCACCATTCTTTGCTTGTTTTATGCTTTCTCTGCAACAGTTCTCTGCATTTATTCCCCAGTAATACCCAGGTGCCATTCCACACACACAGGTATGATTCCATAACTTCAAAACTATTCCTAACACAACTGATTCTGTGTTATACTGGGAATTACAGAAATATCTGGAGAGGAACTGAGAGGCAGCTCCACTTCTCAAACAAAGCAAGGGCTGATTCCTGCCTCCAAGAGCTTATTTACACAGCCTGTTCTAAATTATCCTACAAACAGCCCCACTCTCATCAACTTACCTCATTAATCCTGGCTTGTTAATTAATTCCCCTGTTCCTCAGGGTAAAAGTTATCCAATCTATTGGCTTTGGGAGATGGTTTTCCTTCTGGAACCTGCCCTTGGCTCCTGCTTTGGGTCCTGGAAGTGTCCAAGGCCAGGGCTTGGATCAACCTGGGAGAGTGGAAGGTGTCCCTGCCCATGGGATGAGCTTTGAGGTCCCTTCTAACCCAAACCATTCTATAAATTTTATCCCTTATCAAAACTTAACAAAACCTCAAGCTTTAGCAAAATGGTGAAGAATTATTACTGTTTAAAAGCTATTTTTTAGCAGTAAATCATTAACATGGATAAAAGTCATCGGGATGTTAAGTCAGAACTAAAAGCCTGGTAAAGGGAAGTGGAGGAAAAGCAAAAAAGTAAAGCAAAAAACCCAAAATATTCCACTTGAGCATCTGGCAAAAGCCAGCAAAATATAACCAGGTATCTCAGAGCATCCTGTACAAAATAAAACACCACAAAAAAACACTTCTGAGCTGCGGTTTTATTGGAAAAATCTTCAGGAAAGTTTGGTACTCTCAGCTCAGCTGCTGCTCTCCTGGAGGTGCCAACAGGAGCCACCATAACCCCCTGGGGAGGCCAAATCCTCACTGAAATGCTCATCCAGGAAAACAAAGGTGTTAATTACAGATCCCACAGCACATCCCAGGGGTTATAAAACCCAGGAACAGCTGATTTCGGTGTCAGTGGGAAGCCAGCAAAGAGCAGCTCCAAAGATAGAGCAGAGATAAAAGTCCCCAGAGGATGCAAAAATCAGGGAGTATCAGATCTTTGGCAAAGAGAAGACAGCAAGTCCCACCTACCTCTAAGAAAAAAGGGCTGCTCCCAAGCTTTTTAATTACTCCAATGATCATCTTAATGCAAATTCACCTGCTGCCAAGCTATTCTGTGCCAGCCATTGAAGACACATTTAAAAGTGAGCTGCAGTTTATTTCTTAGACTTGCAGAAAGTAACTAAGTTGTTGGTCTGGTAAACATTCAAATAAAAATTTAAAAAAAAAAACAAAACAACAACAACAAGAACCAAAAAACCACAAAAACAAAAACAAAAAAAAAAAAAGCAGATTGCAATTTATTCCTAAAGTTGCAGCAGAATTCAACCCCCCTGGGGGCTGTTCAAAGCCTGGCAACTCCAGGGCGGCCTCGAGCCTGGCTGGGCATTAAAACAAGTGACTGGAAAAGTTTGAAGGAAGTAAACAATTTTTACAAAAACAGCTGCTTTGTCATTTCTCTCAAGTCTTTGGGAACCAGGGAAGAGCTGAATCACCAGGTGCCAAACTCCAGAGCTGAGCCTGGCACAGCAGATTGCAAATATCCAAAGATTTCACTTTTTCTGCACCGTTGCCACCGAAGCTGATCATGAGAAAGGATTAATAATTAAGGGTAATTATCTGACTGAACACTTTTGAATATGCTGAAGTCAGGCTGGTGTTTGTTCATGAGTAGCTTGTGGCTCTTCCTTTCTGGATTGTGCTGTGGGAAGGCAGGGAAAGGGGAGAGGAGGGAATGGCCTGTGCCAACCTTATCATTTGGACTTGTTTTGACTGGACACTTCATCTTACCTCTCCTGAATGCCACATTCTTCTTCTCCGTGTGCCTCTTTCCCTTGGCTGCCCACCAGTCCTGAATGCCAGGGATCACAGGCACGGAAAAAACACTTAATTCCTAATTAAAGAGTCATTTGGCAACGCGTGCTGTAATTTCGTTGCCTCGGTTCTCTCCTTCCTATACACTGGCAAGGAGTTTTGCTGAATAAATCTCAACCAAGGAATGACAAACCTGCTAAAATAAAGCTTTGATTTGTGACCTTTATGTTAAAAAGATTCCCTCTCTTTCCAGGTTTGGTGTTAAAAAACGTTTTGTGAAAGGCTGATTGGAAATGGACACCTGGAATAGAGAAATATCTCAGGATATATCCAGTGAGGATCAAAGAGTGTGGAGTTGGGACCAGGTGGAGGGTTTTTCACCAAACCTCAGCATCATGGAATCATTTAGGTTGGAAAAGCCCTCTGAGATCATCAAATGCAACCGTTTCACCAGCACTGCCAAGGCCACCACTGACCCATGTCCCCAAGTGCCACATCCACATGGTTTTTAAATCCCTCCAGGGACGGGGATCCACCCCTGCCCTGGGCAGCTGTGCCAGGGCTGGACAACATTTTCCATGAGGAATTTTTCTTTCTTTTCCAACCTGATCCTCCCCTGGCACAGCTTGAGGCTGTTCCCTCTCCTCCTGTCCCTTGTTCCCTGGGAGCAGAGCCCGACCCACCCTGGATCCCCCCTCCTGTCAGGGGGTTGCAGAGAGCAAGAAAGTCCCCCCTGAGCCTCCTTTTCTCCAGTCTGAGCCCCCCCAGCTCCCTCAGCTGCTCCAGCTGCTCCAGCCCCTTCCCTGAACACGCTCCAGCCTCTCCATGTCCTTGTTGTGAGGGTCCCAAAACTTCCCCCGGGACTGGAGGTGCCCCAGCAGCGCCCAGGGTGACAATCACTGTCCTGGCCCTGCTGCCACACCATTGCTGACACAGATATCCTGGCAAATAGGTTTGTCTAAAGCCCTTCACTTCCCAGATCCTGAATTCCTGATGTTATTCCTGCTGGGTGTTTGAGCTTGGAGCTGCTGTGACACTCTCAGGCCCGTGCTGTGACTCCTGGGGATGGTCCCGAGCAGGGATAAGGGTTGGACTGGGTGATCCTTGTGGGTCCCTTCCAACTGGGCAGATTCTGTGACTTTGAGTGCATCCCTGTCAAAATTTCAACTCTCCCTTTTTTCCTGAGTTTTCACACACCTCTGGCAGCCTCAGTGACTTTGCCACTGCCTTTTAGGGCAGACTTTCCTCCTCATAAACCACAAACCCTCCCGAAATACCTGAGTGCACAGTTTCAGTGCAGCTCCAACACGAATTATTTGTCCCAGAAACAATGAGCTGCAGCTGCATTTGTGGGTGAATCTCTGTGTGCACTCAGAGAACAGGCTGGAGGTGTGAATGTTTTAACAGCTGAGCTCTTACAAAACATTTAGCACCCATCGGTGTGTGATCCAGGTCCCTTCTGTTGTCTTCCATCACCTTTCTGCTACATTTTGTTCTCATTGTGTCCTGTAGGTGGGTTTAATCCACTTAAATGTGTTACTTAAATCTGTTTCCCAGCAGCCTGCTAAAGGAGCCATAGACTTCACAATAAGGTCAGTTATTATTTCAAAAGTACCTTTAAACACGTGTAATATAATAAAAACCATGATATTGCTATCCCAGTTTACTTCCACCTTCTTTACTCACACAGAAATCATTTATACCCTCTGTTAAATGCCAAATACTTTTAGATAAGGGGGGGAAAAAAACAACTGAGGGAAAAACAAGTAACTTCTGCTCCTTATGCCACTGTACATTGCTTTCTTGCCCGGAGAATTTCCAATATCCAAGCAATAATTTCAGCCCAAATTGGCCCAGTGGGGTCACCAATCCTCTTTAAGAGGCACCTTTCCCCAGGAGGGGGGCCAGTAGGTTTTATTGCTCTCTGTCTCTGGCTGAGCCTCGTGTAAATTATGGGATAAAAGCAGATGGCAGAACTCTTTCTAGACATGGTTGAAAAAATTGGGCTTGCTTAGAATAGTCCCTGGGGCCCTTTCTCGGAACATTCCTCTGCAAGGAGAAACAATTATTTTACTTTTGGCTGCTGTTGTCTCCTGCTGAGGGAATTCTTGTGCAGCAATGATGAACTCTGTGAAGGGTGAAAGGGATGGTGCTGCTGGTTCAGGATATTCAGCAGGGAAGAGTTTTGGCTCCCGTGGACCTGGCAGGGGGTTTTTTCAGGCTGGAATCACACACTGCCTTGGGTTTGCTTAAAAGTGATGTTTTATGGTGTCACCTGGTGGAAGGAACCAGGGCACAGAGCTGCTGGGTGATGAAACCTTCTCAGCAGGTTGTTCTACATCACCCCAGGGGCACTCACAATTCATTTTCTACCCTTTATTAGCAAATTGTTTTTGCTGGTGCTCAGTTCTGTACCACCAGGCCCTGCTAATTCAGTTTAGCACCACATCTGCCCAATCCACTCGTGGATTTGCCCAGTTTCCAAGTCAAACAGGAGCTATTTTACATCTGCCCTCAGCATCCATGGGACATCATAATAACCCAAAAGCATTCCCTGCATGGTTTGACCCACAGAAACAAGGAGGATTCTTTCTAATTTCTCTGGTGGGAGCTGCCTCTGTCCCAAAATCCATGTATCCATCAAGGAAAGAGATGCACAGAGGTGCTCCTTGGCTTGGGGTGAGATCACAAAACCAACCAGTTTGGAAAAGACCTCTGAGCTCACACCACTTTGCCTACTAGACCATGGCACTGAGTTAAACAGTCTCTCCCTAAACACCTCAGACTAAAGCCCCAGATTTTAACCAAAAGAAGACAAATTACAGCAAATCCAGTCAGTGATGGAAGACAAGCAGCCACAAAGTAGTGCAGGAACTGGCAGCAGCTCTGCTTTCAATAACTGTGGTTCTGGGTCCAGCAGAAGGAGGAGTCATGTTCAGCTTAGATTTACCAAACCTGGTTTAGCAAAGCAAGATCAAGAGACTGTTTGTGACCTCAAACCTACCAATGGCTAAAGGCCAGGACTTTTCCACGGATTTGCTTTGGAAACGGAGCCATTGTGTTGCTAACTTGGTTATTTTGACATTTTTGCTGCTCTCAGATGATTTCTGAGCACTCCCAGCCCCTGCCATCTCCTCAACAGCAGCTCGTCTGTTCCTATTCCATAAAAAGAAGCCCTCATATAATTGAAGATTCTTATAATAACCTACCTCAGGCTTTAAGATTGTTCTAATATTCTGTTTCAGACTTCTCTTCTTTTCCAGCAGCCCCAAGTCACTTAAACTTTTAATCACTGCTCATGTTTTCCAGGGCTTGATCATTCCTGGGCCTCCCTCCTGGACTCTCAGTCCGTGCTCTGATTTATTAAAATAAGGCACTCCAACCTGATGGAAGGTGTTTAACACTCCCCTCCCCAGTGCCAAATGAGCCTCTCTGAGTGCTGAACTCCTTTTTTTCCTGAAAAACTGCTGGGAAGTTGCCCCTTTTTCCTGATTTGGAGGTATTTTAAAGGCCAAATCTCAAGCTTGCAAGCAAGGAATGTTTAGGCAAGAGTGACTCGTCCTGAAGAAAGTCACTGATTTGAGGGAATGAGGCTATTTGATGATAATGATTTATTATTATTATTGGATTAACGTGATTAAACTTTAAATTATTACCATTAAAGCAGCACATGAAGAAATATTGCAATTTTAGCTCGCTACGTTCAGCATGCACAGAGTTAACAGAGCAATGCAAAACTCAGCTGGACATTTTGTAGAGTTTCCAAAAAGCTCTCATTTGGCCTGAAGGCCTCATCCAACTTCATTTTATTGATTAAAAATCGTAGAAAAAAAAATCCCAGAATGATTTGGGTTGGAAGGGACCTTAAAGATCATCTAATTCCACCCCTGCCATGGGCAGGGACACTTTCCACTGTCCCAGGTTGCTCCAATCTGGCCTTGGACACTCCCAGGGATGGGGCAGCCACAGCTTCTCTGGGCAACCTGTGCCAGGGCCCCACCACCCTCTCAGCCAAGAATTCCTTCCTAATATCCAACATTTTTAGCTCTTTTTTAGCTCTGTCTTCTGGACTGGTGTGTTACCAGCTTGCCACAATTTTTACTACTATAAAACTTTTATAAATTATAAAACTATTCGCTAGTTTCATAAATTTAATGTTAGAAAAAAGAAGAAATCTTACCTGGAAATCCGTTTTTGGATTTTCTGTCCCCCGTAATAGAGAAGCTTCTCTAGTGCATTCACATTTCCTTTTAAGTGCAATTAATTCTGCTCAGGAATACCCTGTTTTCTGTGCTCCTGGGTGCTGATTAGAAAGAAGAGTCGACTGTTTGGAGTGAAGTGTTCAGGTTCCATGACCCCATTTCATGCCATTTATCACACGAGGAAAGGAAAGGAGAATGAAACAGGATCACTGAGTGGAACAGGCACTGCTCTGAAACACTTCCCTTCTCTCTGAGGTGCTGCTAATCCACCACCCAAACAATCAGTCAGGTTGTTTTCTTGCCTGTATTTCTTTTACTGAGATAGAAGTTGTGGCATTTAATAATGATAAAATTGCAATAACTTGGGAGGGAGAGAGGCAGTTACCCAAAACATTGAAATTAAGGGTGTGATGCTGTGAAGCTTGAAAATATCTGTAGTTTCTTCGTTATTATCCTTGAAAATATCTTTAGTTTCTTCATCATTATCCTTCAAATCTGGTGTAAGCCCCAGGATTTGTTGTGTCACCTGCATTAAGCACACAGATATCAGGGAAAGGTTGGAACCAAACCTCAGCTAAAGGCTCCATCCCATCCCCCCAAAAAACCCGAAATCCGCTATCCCGTCGCACCAGCAGGCACTGAACGTGTTCATCTCCCAAAAATAACCCCACTCAAATTCCTGGGAACACAAAAAAAATAAAGTTTGGATCTCTAATAACCTGCTGGAGCTCTTTTCCTACTTGCCATGATCTCAAATCCCAGGAAAACAAATCCTTTCTGAGCCCGTTGCCTTCGGTCACGATCTCCATGATTTAATTGAGAAGGAAAAGTTTCCCTCCACAATCAGGAGGCACCGAAGGTTTTGGACACAAGAAGAGCAAAATAGCTCAAGGATGATGTTGCTAAAACATCTGGGGAAGAGAAAATGTTAATAATTTAACAACTTGGGCTAAAAGGAGACCACAAACTCTGATTTTTAAACCGAGTCCAAACCAGAAACTGCTTTCCTTGAGTTCAACTCCTGCTGCAGAGACTCTTCTTGCCACAGCTTGGAAGCACCACCTCCAAAATTGTAACAGCAGTTTCAACATCCATGTCTGCAAAACGTGCATTATTCTTGGGAAAAAGAGCCAGTTCTTCTGGGATCCAAACCCCGGATTTTTGGGCTCACACATCTAAAACTTCACCTCGTCACATGACTGATGTCACCAGTGACACCAAAAGCCTAAAGGACTGAGATATTTATGATTTCAGGAGAGAGACCAATAGATGTTCTCACTGGAAACCCACTATTTATTTATTTTTTATTAAATAAGCCTTTAAAATCCAGGGGGAAGGGGCAGGTTTGCAACAATTTGCAGCAACGAGTTACTCATCTATTTTAAAAATTAATAAATAAGAAGTTGGATTATTTGTCCATGAAAATGGAGGATGGGAGCAAAAATAGTCCCTTCAAACAGAGCTTTTACAAAGGCTTTATTTTGGGTAAAACACCATTTTCTTAAATACCAGTGCAATGACAGACAGGCCTTGCTCACCCTCACTTTGCACCTTTATAACTTACATTTTTAGTGTGTTCATTCCTATTTGCACCTTGATGGATGCCACAAGAATCCTCTTTTTCTGGCACAAATCCTGCCTTTTCTATGCTGAGAAAAAACACCCAAAGTTAGATTATTTTTTTAATGCCATTTTTATGCAGCACTCCACAACTGCAACAAAACCCAGAGCACTGAAGAATTACATTTTTAAAGAGGAGTTTCTATCAAGCAGCTATTCTTGTCCTAATGTAATATCTCATTTTCTCAGCAGTTGATTAAAATCCATTCTGTTACACTGGGATACACCCAATGACACTCCCCTGATACAGAGAGATACAGAAGAGATAAAAGAAAATAATATATCACTGGCAGGGCTGAGAACATTGTTAAAAGCATATATTCAGTGCCTACTTATCTTTTATGTATACAGATATCTGTGGTGACAAATAGCCTATTATTGTGTATGATTGACTGAAAACAGAAAGCAGGAACTGGAAAAGAATTCTGAATAACTGAGGGCCATTTACTGCTCATATTTTATATCAGGGACTCCACATTACCCACAGGAAAAAAAGAGAGGGAAGAAAATGATGTGGTTTTAATGTGGCTCCAGCTACAACTGGAGTTAATTATGGATTCCTCCAGTCATTAATCCCATAAACAACAGGATTTGGGTTTGCCACTGGATGAGATGGATTCCAGCAGCACCTTTAGGTCCTTGTCCAGCAGTTCCAGGAGGCCTCCACACTCCAGGGGTCATCAGGAGAGAGGGTGAGGACTCCAGGAAAACTCATTAAGTCGTTAAAAAAATCATTAATAAGTCACAGGCTTCTCTCTGCTCTCTGAGCTCAAGGACACTTGTGCCCAGCACCTTCAGGAAAATTCTCATGGTCTGGGAGGGAGAAATCCTTGAGCTCCTCCTTGGATTTCTATTCCAGAAATTCTGTCCTAATTCTATTTCAATTCTGGGTTTCTGTGAGCAAATTCCCCTCGATTTTCAGTGCAATGCAACCCCCAGTGACGTCACTGATGGAATTTTGACATGGAATTCCAAGGAAATGCCACAATTTAGTGACAGCCTGCAAAGCAACTGAAAGCCTGGCATCCAAAAATCTGTCCAGGTACGAGTCTCAAACACTGGCTGTGGTTCCATCTGGAATCCTGTGTCTTCTGGACTATTTTACAGCCAATTTTCAGCAGCTGCAATCCCAAATATGTTATAGCTGGTTACCTGTCATAAAACATTCCTGTTAAACCTGTGCTGCTGGAGAATTAACCAAGGATTCTGTGGCCATGCAAATTATCAAGTCTTTTATAAGAGTTACTTTTGCCCTAATTACTTTCCACCTTCCCAGACTTTGGACAACAACATAAACTTTTCTCCTTAGACAGATGAATCTCTAATTACTCAAATGAGTTTTCTTTGCCCTATTTTTTTTCTTATGAGCATCAGCTCCCCCAATTGCCAAAGAGGAGATGCTGGTCCCACACTTCTGATCTAATCCCAAATCACTTTTCCTGCTATCCAGCAGACAACAATTCCTTTCATCCACTTCATTTGTTCCACCCAATCCATCATCAAACCCAAAAAGCTCCCTGGATGTTTTGTATCCATCATTTCCAGGGGCAAGCAATGCATATTAACTCCCTTCATAATTTTTCATACATCAATCTCTCCAGTCCCTCCATCATTTTTGTTGCTCTTCCGTGAATTCCTTCTGGCTTTCCCCAAGTCTTTCCAGAACTGAAGTGCTCAGCTGAGAATGCACCATTTCACCTGCTCTCTCAGAGGAGTTAAAGAGATAAAAATTAACTCCTTCTTTACCAGGCATCAAAAATCATAATTATTTTATTTTTCCAGTAAAAGCCAATTTTTTTATTCCAAATATTAGGTCTGCAGTAAAGGTTGGGACATAAAGTCTGACAATCCCTGAATCAGCTTTGCTAATTTTCCTCTCAGTTCATTTCTAACATTTTGCTGGGCAAAAAAACAACTTGAAAACCCCAAAACTCAACTTCAGCGAGCTTGCAGCACCTTACCTCCAAAAAGTTGGCAAAAGCAACTTGATTTCCATGCAAACAGCAGAAATCCTGATTTGTTCTCTGATCCTCATTGCATATATTTTGCCCAGCTCCCTGAATTTCTGCTTTCATCCCAAGGATTCCTCGTGGGAATGTTGCAGACCTCAGGCTGGGATGGATCCACAGCAGCTTTCTCGTGGCACATTGGACACGAGGGGATTTAGGCTCATTTGAAGCCTTGAAAAACATTTTTGCAGAGGAGCTCTTTAACTCCCCTCTGTCTTTTTGGTGCTCCTGAACCTTTCTCCTCGTCAGGAGCGAAGTTTTCCACGGACACAGAGAGTTCTGAGGTGAAAAGTGGCCTCCAAATGGCCCACGAGGTGCACACAGGCAGGGGAGCTGCTTTTCAAGCTGAATAAATATCAACAACACATAAAAACCCAAATTTAGGCAGCATGAGATGAAGTTCATGAGCCAACACCTTGAACCCTGCACTCATTTAAAGCTTTCCCAAGTTGCCTCATCCTTTCCACTCCATAAATTTTGTGATTTATTACAAAAAGGTGTAAGGTCCTCCCTCCCATTCCCAATTACCTGAGCCACTCAGGCCTCTTTGATGTGTCTTTGCATGAATAAGTTTGTTTCCAGACTTTCTGGTTCTCCTTTAGCTTAAAATATTCGTCAAACAAGAGCAATTTTCTCCTTACTTAAGGAGGCAGTTAATTAGTACAGAGCCTGTTATTTTGTCACATCCTGACAAACAATATAGGAGATTAAAGAGTTGCTAATTGGCTGCTACTGTTAACAGCAATTTCATAGTGTTAATGCACCAAGAAAACATTCAAAAGTTGTTTTGATCAGACTATGGGAAAATTGAACAAAATTAAAAAGGGTTGTCCCACAGGAAAAATCCCAAATGCAGGCAACACTTCCAATATGGGATTCAGGAACATTATATGTGTTGTGGAAATGTTCTGCCAACAGAAGAAAGTTTCTCAGAAGTCATTCTGGGCTTTGGGTATCAGAAATGAAAAATAGTGGGGAAAAAACCCTGAAAATATCATTAAAACACAAATTATGAGCATCTTTAAGGCTCTGGATACAAGAGGTTCTTGTAGGAGTAGTAAGGTCATGGAATCATGGAATGGTTTGGGTTGGAAGGGACCTTAAATTCATCCAGTGAATTTATGAATCCATGGGCAGGGACATCTTCCACTAGCCCAGGTTGCTCCAACCTGGCCTTGGACACTTCCAGGGATCCAGGGGCAACCACAGCTTCTCTGGACAACCTGTGCCAGGGCCTCTCCACCCTCCCAGCCAAGAATTTCTTCCTAATATCCCATCTAAACCTACTCCTTTTGAGTTTGAAGCCATTCCCCCTTGTCCTGTTGCTCCATCCCTTGTAAAGAGTTTTTCCAAGGAACTCCAAACTGCTCCATTGTGAAAACCTGCGACCAGAAAATTGCCAAGATCACCCCAAAACAACTAAAAAAATGACCAATCTCTCTCCAGCCACTGAAGATGAGTTAGAAAAGCTTGGGATAGGATGCAGGGTGCCTTTCAGTTCCAATCAATTAAGCAGCAAAAGACAAGATAATCAGGGTAATTAACAACCCTTGGACTAAGGCAGGATTATAAAAATCAGCAGCACTAATTTTGTTGCTCTTAGTTAATGCACACTTGGACAGGTTTGAAAGGGGTGGGGAGCAGGGTGGTCAGTGATCAGTGTGACATCCCCAAACCCACAAAACCAGGGAGAAATAAAACCTAAGAGGCAGGAAACCCATCAGGGAATTGTTCTGAGAAGCACAGGAACGGTCACTTTTCTGGGGAGAAAAATGAAACAGAAAGGCACAAACATTTAGAAATGTATAAATAATACTCACAGTATGGAGAATATGGGGAGACAACAGCCTGGATGAGCTTCAATCCTCTTTTTCAAGTGCCAAGGCCTTGCTAAATGCTCATATTTCTTAACAAAGCCTGGAACAAGGGATGGCAAATCACCACACTTGGGAAGATCTTGTCTCCTACTGCATCTCCATGGGTTCAGTGAATGAGTCAGAGCTTTTCTTTCACTTCAGCTGCTTTCACTTGGAATTCTCTGGTTCCTTCAGGGAGAACAAGAGAGGAAACAAAGCACAGAAGGAACTCAAACCTTGCAAGTCTCCCGGATAACCAAGGCACAGAGGCTGAGGCAGAGCACAGGAGTCCCCTGGGACTGGAAAACTGAGAGCTGGTTTTTCAGACAGCTTAAAGTGCTCAGGTGTGGATCCTCCATGCTCTGAAAAAGTATTTTGAATTATA